TTACCAGCACCTCATCGATACCATCTACCGATTAATCATCCAGCCGGGCAGCAATGTCGATGAGGAAACAACGCACCAGCTCTGCAATGAGGCAGCTGTTGACCAAAAGAGCCAGAATGAAGACTATGGGCAACTTGAAAACGAAAACCACCGCGCTGTGCAAAGAAATGCACAGAAAAGATGGGGAGTATGACCACTGCAGGAGGCCGCATTAAAGGAGATTAGTCTGAAGGACGTGGAAAAGGCCATCCTTATAAGCAAACGGATTCTGAAGGAGGAATAAAAGCCACAGATCACTGGCTGTCGCATTAAAGTGATCTACACGACGGCATTCAACAACCTCTACTCCTCGAAAGGTAAGGTAAACCCTAATCTGCCGCACGCGTCCCGGAGACCTTTCCCAATGTCAACTGGGGCGAAGTAGAGTGGTCAGTGATGAATATCAAGTGGCCGCCCTACTGGAAGGGACGGCATACCGGAACATCTCAAGTCAGAGGAATATACCTGCTCGTAACCCTTCCCGAACGATTTACAGAGGACATTAGGCTGAAGAATACTTCAGAAGCATGGAAGAGCTCTATTCAAAAAAGGTGGTGTTGACAGCCTCCAGAACCATGGACCAATCTATTTCCTACCAGTTCTATACGGTCTTTAAATGAATCATCAGCGGTATCGTCGAACCGAACTTGTCGAGCTCGAACCTAACCAGGTTCTGATAGTCATTACGCTACCTATAACTTACTCCTTATTTGTCGCAGCTAACCTTCATACATGGAGGTTGTTGTCCTATGCGCATCACAGGGACGCGCCAGATGGACAGTAGCTAGTTACACTATTGTAATGCTATTGTATTTACTCTAAAACAATTACTTATCGATAAGAAATATCGTCTGAACTGACGTATGTTGCGGAACAACGACTGACAAGTATGTATTAACGCAGTTTCTTGAATTTTAGGACTTAATGCCTTTAGGAAACTACTCATGATTTCAAAACTGATAGTTAGTTTCTTGCACTTAAATCTGGAAAAGAAGGTTGAATCAATGATGTGCTAACTACACCAATCTACTCCATAGTAAAAACTAGCAGGTACTTTGTTTCAGTAGCGCTTCTGATTTGTTTCCTTATTTCTGTGCAGAATTTTGCGCAAATCTTAGCATTTGGTTTTGAAATTGAAATAATCACCTCATATTCGATCCATGGTTTGTGACTTATAAGCTTATATTAACGTTTCAATATTATATACGGCTATAAAAATGAAACGCGCCATGTATAAAGGAATGTTGATCCTGGGGGTATGTATATATGTCTTCTGTCGCAAAGCACGGATTGTCGGGGAGAGGTGACACAGTGGTAAGAGATATGCATCAAACTCCAGCGGGTTCAAATTCCAAAACATACAGCGCTTCCCTTATTTTCCTAACAGCGCACGTTGTTTCAGAGTAATCAGCCGAGAAACGGACAGGAAATCTTTAACCAACAGCAGGGACAACGCAGTGTTCTGATGTAACTACCCGAATGGGCAAGAGGTATGAGCAAATTCGTCTTGGTTCATCTATTGACTGAATCTCCACTTCGGTAATCAGTACAAGGTGCACCACCCAGAGAGAAGTAAGAGACGAATCAATAAACATCACTTGGTCGAAATAAGAAAAACAACTAAGAACTTTTGAAGTTTTCTCTATATGATTTATCGTGGACTCCTGTCGACTCAAAAATTAGCTAGAGTATTGTGATCAGATGTTATGAAATTAACTAATACCTGAAGGCATTCATTTATCCATTTTTGTAGCCCGTAATGCCATTCAGCTTGAGGATAGCGATGTCAGCAGTTTGTGTGAATAGTTGTGGTTTAAAATAACTTTGATAGTTTTACTCGATGAGTTTACCTGGAAAAAGGTGTATAGGATGTCCAGCAAAAGGTCGGCAGTAGTCTCTCATTCAGTAGGCCCCATGCTGTCAAACAGAATTAATTTTTTATTTCATTCAAGCATGCGTGAGAATGTATCTAAAACAAAATGCCTAGTGTTATCTCGTTCTCCTGCCCGCTGCTCTCTTCAGATTAATGTAGAAGCAGTGGAACAGGTGGAGAAGATCAAGTACCTCGGAGTAGCATTTACAAGTGATCGAAAATTTGAGGAAGAGATCGACCGGCGAATTGGTGTAGCCAGTGGCGTTCTGCATGAACTAGCCCGACCCACTGTGACTAAAGCAGAGCTAGGTCTGAACATAAAGCTTTCGATGTTCAAGTAGATTTCCATCCCCATGCTTGCCTATGGTCATGAGTTTTGGACCATGACTGAAAAGATTCGAACCCGGGTAGAAGCAGCTGAAATGGGCTTTCTGAGAGGAGTCCCTGGTCATTCGCGTCGACATGATCCGGAGTACAGAAATCCGTGGAGCCTTGATATACAGCCGGTGCTTCTTAAAGCTGAGAAGTCACCATGATTTGGGCATGTGTTGCGTCAAGAAACGCCTCAAGAAAGGAAGACGAAGCAACTATTTCTGTCTAGCTGACCGGTCGAAAATCCAGGAGACGGTCAAGATTAACCTAGTGGAAATGTATTGATGGAGTCTGCTATAGACTCTGGCACAGGATCGGAAGCGTTGGAAGCACTGTCTGACGCGTCTGCCTCCGCGACCCGAAAGGAGAAGCGGTGTCGGAAAATAAAGATTCATTCAAGCAACTAAATACTCATTCAATTCTTCGAACAGACCTACTACATTGTATGTACTACTTATGCTGTTTTTAAAATTATACAGCTATAAACAGTTTTATACATTTAGTTATTAATTAAGTTTCAGTGTAAAATTTATAAATTTTAATCAATGAAAATAATCCTGTGTAGACAGTTCATTCAGTTTTATTCCTTCAGACTGATTCTGACTCAGACCAATTTTCTTTTTCCTTTAGCTTATTATGGAAGTATTTGTTTTGTAACAGACAGCAAGTAAACATGCTTTCAGAGCAGAGTGTACAGCCGTCCTTTGGGTTAACCCGCTTCTCAACATATGTTTAGCACCTCATTTCATACTTAAAATAGGCAATCCTGATAGAAGGAAATTAAGCACTAGCGTACCGAGGTGCTTGGTTGATTGAAACTGTCGGAAGCAAATGCGGTGCGTTCTGAATTCCCATACATTTAGTGCAGTGCCAAGGTGATGTCGTGCGCGTGCACGAAACAAAACTCTAGATTTCTCAAACATTAACGGTGAGCCTAATCGCTACGGCATGCAATCCGGCGAATGCCTGTGCGAATCCTGCAACAGTGATAACTGACGCTGAGATGACTTACTTTGTCGTTCCCCATGATCAAGGTTAACTTCATATTTGATTTCACGGCTGGTCATCTGTGCAGTTGTTTCGGAACTTGTGGGTGGACTGGTTGAAGATATGCTGTGACGGGCGATCGTTGGTGGATTTTGACTATGAATCGGAATTGCCGGTTCTTCTAAAACATGGATGCAATACAAAAACTTTAGATTCACACAGGATTTTCATACGATATGCTTAAATTCAGAAATGTGATAAGTGATTAGACGAAAAGATTTGTGAGCCATAACTAAAGGTTTTCTTGAGGTGCAGATTGCAAGCTCAATGTTGTTCTTTTCTGTGTGTATCAGATAACTTACACCGTGAGCGTTTGAATGCGAACACATTTCATTCTAACTTATTTTTCAATCAAACAGCACTGTGGTGGTGCAAGGTCAGAAGCAATAACTGCATTTTCAACGTGTCATTTTTAATACATGTCAAAGTTAGCAGAACTTCACACTTCTGAATGCGAATGGCTTATACAAAACAATGATACAGTACAGAATTGGATAATTAAATAAATATGAAACAGGACCCTTATAGTACGAATCTAAGAGCGCCAACTTTCTATTAGGAGGAATCATTCAGAGCATTTCGGTATTGTAGCGCATTCCATAGACACCAGAATTATTGACTGTGAAAAGAACGGTCTCGGCCTGGTTGTTAAAGAGCCCTTG